TAAATAAAGAGTGAAAAAGATAAATAGAAAGCGGTGTAGTAAAATATTTGGTTTATTGCGTATAATAGTGGTAATAGAAGATTAAAATATAAAGAAGGTTTAAAGAAATTAATAGTTATATACTGATATTTATTGACTTTAATTAATTATTTTTCTATCAAAACAACAGAATCTAACAATTAATTAAAATGATGTATAAAAATAAACTTTAGATTACATTGTATATTGATATTTTAATTTTAGCAAAAAATGATATATACGTGTTAAATCTCAGTGATTATATAATGACCAAAATAACTAATGAGATAAGTATACTTTCTTTATTATTTTTATAGCGATTAACATCATTAGATACTTATTTTTATGATCTAATTGTTCAAAGCCTTTTTTTTTAGATATATAAGTCTGCTCATTTTAGCATTTAAAAGTAGAAACATTTTTGAAGAAACATTTTTGAAAATTTTGAAAATAGAAAATAACTCTAATAACAACTCTAATAACTGCTCATCTTCTCCTTATTCTGCTATTTCTACCAATACAACCTGCTCTCGTTATAATATACATACTACATCTAATATCGCTAGGCCTCATCAACTACCTCACTCATCTTATAATGATAAATCAGATTCTAATACATCTATTATAAGTGTGCATAATACTTTTTCTAGGATGAGTAGTAGAGGTAAACAATGCCAATCATCCCATCTAACCGAACCAAAACAATCCAAACAATTCAGACAACATGACCAACCAAGTCTTTCTAGACAACAATCTCTTTCCCAACCTACACATCATGTATCAAGATTGTTATCGCTATAGCAAACACGAGAAAAATCACTATCATCTGATCTACAATCTTCTAATCAAAATCAACCTGATTATGAATTTATAAAATAGTTTTTTTTTTGATTTTTGAATGTTGATCTTTTGATCTTGCCTTTTTTTTTTTTTTTTTTTAAAAATTTTTTTTTTTTTTTTAACCTTGAGCTTGTTCAAACCACTGCTGCTATGAAACTAAAGACTGAGAATATTTCTTTGCTTAAAACCGTCAGCTATACCTCCTAATCTGGAAGTTAAGTGATAACTTTCAAGAGTTCAGGAATGAAATAAGATTGCAAAGAAATCAAGGCAATCAAGGTGATGATCTTTTACCAAAAGTATGGAACGTAAGTATTGTAAGGAAGCAAAAGAGTAATTCATGAGATTTTGGACACTTTTTAAAAATATTTTTGGACACTTTATATTTTGTAGGATGTGTATATTAATGTTGTGAAACACATTTTTCCGTGTATAATCTATCCCACCCAAGATGAATTAAAAGAGGCCATCAGAGATTACCTGAATAAAAAGTTTTCCAGTTTCATGGTGAGCCTAAGTGCAAACAATTTTACCAACAGGTTTCATAGTATCTGTTGTACTCAGGTAATAATATTTGTATGCTTGTTTTTAATCAATTTTAATTATTTCAAAGCATTGTTTTATGGTTCTCAAATTTTTTAATAGCTCTTACAAAAAATGAAAAACCTTCACAGCGCAGTACTGCAGAATGTTCATTCTGCAATTTGAAGTATGTTTGGTCATGAAAAACTCTCTCTGAAAAGCAATGCTGCCTTTGCGGATATAGTCGCTTGGAAGCAAAGCAACAAAATGAATGATTGCTATCTTTTGCTTTATGAGCAAAATGAGGATAGAATTTTGTGGATCACTATTATAACAAGAGATGCATTCACCATGGCTGCTGCCTCTGTCCTCACCAACTATCACTGTGCGTTTACACTTGCTGTATGTATATTATATTAAACCTGCGGTCAAAAAATATCATTTGTAGCGACAAGAGGATTAAGCATCGTATAATACAGTATTTGGCAAGTAATTGAAATAAATCGATTTACATAATTACTACAAAGCAATGCTAACTTTATTTATTATACTAGGATAATTTTAATAATGGCGATTCAAGCCAAAAGTTAGTAGATAGAATCATAAGTAATGAGCTTGTATCAAGCTTACACAATGGTAAACAATCAAATCAAGCCTCTACCAACCCTGATCACAACTCTGAATCTGTTCCTATCGCTCTATCTCGCTCCCAAAGTAATTCAATAATACTTTTGCAGGATGAATAGAATGAGTTGTTTGGCATTGACAAATAACTAGAGTTGGGGGCATGGTATTTCAGGGTATGCCTTTTTTTCAAAAAATTTACATATAAAAAATCATTATACAAAAAATTTTTGGGCATGCCTATAGGGCATGCCCAAAAATTTTCTGTGCCCCCAACTCTACAAATAATATATTTTTTTTTTTACAACAATGCTTTTTTTTTTTTTACAATAGCATTTTTTTTGCAAAATGTTTATGTATTACATGTATTATTTGTTAACAAATAGTAATAAAAAATTTTTTTACATATTGCATATTGGTAAAATAAAATTTGATAGCTTTTCAGTTTTAAAAATATAATAGTTCATGTAATATTTACAATAGTAATTGCTGCAGTTTTAAATATAGCGATTTTTATTGTTTTGCTTTTAATGATTAAACTGATTTATAGTGATTTATATCATTTTATTACATTATATATTGATTTTTATTTTATTTAGTTAGATATCGATTTGTATTGGTTTTGCTATATAACGATTATTTTCGTAATCGATATAAATCAGTAGAGGTGATTAACATCGCTGTATTACGATTATTTTCGTAATCGATATAAATTAGCAGAAGTGATTAATATCGCTATATATCCCCATGTTAGCTATCGATATATAGCAGTTATTTTTTTTTGCTAATATAACTGGTTCATTTTTTATATAGTGTGATTTGTCTTAAAGAGGGTCCAGAATACAATTAAAGTCATCTATGACTATTAATTGTGCCTTCTTAGATTAGTTAATATATCTTTTCAGAATCTCCTTTTGAACTTTCTTTTTTTCATTTTTATTGTTTGATAGTAAGTATACATTATTATGATTAGCTCTAGCTGCTTAAATATAAAGCTGGCTATTATTAAATATTCATTTCTTCTTTTAATTTGACCTAAGTATTTTTCTATTGTTTGCTTACAAGAAGGTCTCCTTCTGAGCCTTTTTTCTTGTTTGGACTTGTATTTGACTAGAAGCTTCTATAGTTTTTGAGATTCATTGCTACAAAGATATCCTCTTTGCTTGAAATATTTGTTTCTGTTAATTCTAACATATCTATATTATACAGTAGTATCTATTTATATAATGCTTTTAGTTTCTGTTTGTTGTTTTGCAAGCCATTTATATTGTAGCAGGTGATTCCTAATTCAGCTATACAATTTTTATTTTTGAGTATTATTTTCTGTTTATTGTAGCTTGTTTTGTTAATCTTTATATATACTAATTTATCTTTTCCATTTCCTTTATTATTAATATGATAGGTTTTGGAGATACTTTGATTTGAACATGAGCTTGAAGAACTACTTGGTATTAGAAAGAGGTTCACCTCCTCTGTCTTTTTCTTTGTTTCAACTAAGGTCCCTTTAGGAGTGATTGGCAGGTAAAATCTGCTCTTTGC